AGTTCTTTGTCTTCCTGTTTGAAATGTTTGTACGTTTTTGAAAAGCTAAATCAGGCTCTTGCCAACACTGTAACTCAGGAATGTTTGTTCAAGGATCTGGGAGCTATCTCTTTGAAATGTAAACATAAAAGGGGATATCTCTTTATCTCCCAATTCTTGCCTAACTCAGCAGTTGCCTTGTTCCTAGTGGCAAAACTCCCTCCTGTCATAATGTAAGTTTGTTTTCCCTTTGGTTAAAGCCAATTAGCTAACACAAACGGCCACCAGCTTACCTGGTGATGTCAGGAAGAACCATGTATGACAAATGGTGCTGTCGTGTCTTCGCGAGGAGTAGTTATGATCTTTCTTGAGAACACGTATGTAATCTGTCGTATCGCTTTGTCTTCTCTCACAGGGTGAGATTCATTTTTGCAGTCTCTCAAGACTGCCTCTGATGCCCATCACATTCTGGTTTAATGCTTATTCACAATGAAACTGTTTTTCTTCCTGTACTACTTCTGTGGAGAGGACTGCTGGCTTGTGAGACGATTTTTTTAAAAAAATTGTATTCCCCAACACCACCCCCTGAGCTTTTACTTAAACCGGTTCCGATTTAGGGGCGCCTGGGTGGCTCAGTGGGTTAAAGCCTCGGCCTTCAGCTCAGGTCACGATCTCAGGGTCCTGGGATGGAGCCCCACATCCGGCTCTCTGCGCAGCGGGGAGGCTGCAACCTCCCCCCACCCGCCTGCCTCTCTACCCACTTGTGATCTCTTTCTGTCAAATAAATAAATAAAATCTTTTTTTAAAAAAAATGTCAAACCGGTTCCAATTTAACAGGAAAACATCTCAGCTTCTAATAGAATACACAATTCTAATCTCACGTTGTTTGAAACATTAATTTAAATTAGCCAGGAGACTGTTCGCCCCGAGACACCGAACTACTTTGGGCTTGAAAAGGCAGGAAACGCCGGGAGGCGCGGCGGAAGTCCAGATTCCAGTCCCTTACGTCGGTCACGCCCCTTCTGTCCAGTCCAGGCCGCCGTCCACGGCTCAGCCGTCACACGGCGCGCGCGCAGCGTCCTGCAGAGGCGAAAGCGGAGCGAAGGGCATAGTCAGGTGAGTCAGTGTCAGATTTTCTTGTTCAACACTGGTCTTTGCGGGACCGTTCCCCCGTCCCGGGGCTTCGGTCCTCAGCACCCGGGGTTCGGGATCGCCACGTATGACAAAACCTCTTCGCCCACGTGTCCCGCGCCCGATGATTCCCGGCGGCAGCATCAGACATTCCAGGCCTGGGGGCTCCACTGCGGGGCCAGGGGGTTCACGTCTGTTTGGAGTTAAAATCGCCGAGGCGGATGCCCGCCTTCCGTCCAGGTAGACAGCGCCTGCCTCATCTTCTTCTTGCCGGAAAAAATCCTCCGGGACTCCCGCCACGCTCCGGCCCCTGCCCCTCTCAGCCGCGCTGAGCGTGGAGCCTTCCCTCCCTGTCCCCCAGGGCGGAGGCGCTCGTTCAGAACCCGCCGCCACATCTCCATGGCCTTGGGGTCCCCTCTCCCCTGACGCCCCCTCCACCTACGCGACCTCTGGAGCTGGCAGTCCTCTCCTTTGTACTCGCCGCCTTAGGGTTTCTTCCGCACAAACCGCATGCCACTGGATGTGCTTGTCATGGTGTTTGCGTTCCCGAAGCCCTACTAGAAAGTAAGGCTTCTTCCCAGGAAAAGAACGTCTTTATTCCATACTTGTGTGAGGGTGTGGGGCGAGCGGGCAGCCAGAGAGAGTGAGAAAGACTATGTGTGTGAGAAAGGAACAAAGTGTAGAGCAGGCGGACGTGGAGAGAGAGTACGAGTGTAGTGAACCAGAGAAAGTGGAGGGAGAATAGAGAAATCCAGATTAAAACGTATCTCCAGAGAGGTGAAGGGTAGCACATTAGACGAGAGTCACCTTAACAGGTGGTAGGGGTGGGGCAGCAGGGAGCAGACACATCCGACTGAGACCGTGGGAGAAGGATAGAAGAATTGGGGCCGTGGCAGACGGGGTAGTGCTGAGACAGAAAAACGGGCAATGGGTGACGGCAGAGGGACAAACAGAGCCTGGAAGGAATCCGCTGGTTTTAATCCCTTCGTTGGCTTCCTGTTGCCCTCAGAACAAAAATCCAGACCCACTGGATGGCTACAGCAGAGAGCTCTGGATGTGGGGCCTGTTAGGGTCCGTGATCAAAGAACGAGACTGATTAAAGCAAAAATCAAACAAAGCTTTATTTCACGCCAAGCATCAAAAATCAAACTGACCGGTCAGGGCTGTCTCTTACGAAAAGGTGACGACGAAGACCCCGGCAAGTCCGCTCCCTACGTGGCTGCTCTGGATGAGGCCTTTCTGTAGATGAGGCCGCTCTGGACGAGGCCACTCCCAGGAGGAGGCCGCATTGATGAGGTCGCTCCTCGGGGCTGCTCCTCGGACAAGGCTGCTCACAGAAAGAGGCCGCTCTGGAGGAAGCCTCTTTCCTGACGATGCTGCCTCCCACAGGGCTGCTCACCGAGGAAGCCTCTTTCCAGATGAAGCCGCTCCCCGGAATGGCGCAGCTCCGGCGAGGCTGCGGCTCAGGGTATCAAGGCCGCTCCCGGCAGCGAGGCCGTTCGCAGCGAGGTTGCTGGCGTCAGGCCGTTCCCTGCTGTGTCAGCGGGGCCGCTGGTGTCGGGACCGCTGGCGTCTCGGCTGCTGCCGGAGTGCTGGGACCGCCGGCGTGCTGGGACAGCTGGCGTCGGGACCGCTGGCATCTCAGGTGCAATGGCGGGTCCGCTGCAGGTGGCTCCGCTGCTCCCCGCGGCGCCGCTGCCGAAGCAGCGGGGCTGCAGGCGTCGGAGCTGCCGGCGGCTCGTCTAGCTCTGACGAGAGCTGTCACACTCTCGCAGCTCTTACAAGAGCTGTTACAGCTCCTACAGCTCTTAACGAGAGCTGCGACAGCTCCTATAGCTCTTACAAGAGCTGTCACAGCTCTCTTTCTTCTGCTCCCGCCGACTCTCCTTCTTCTGCTCCTGCTGCTGCTCCCGCCGACTCTTCTGCTGCTGCTTCTTCCTTCTCCTTCTGACAGCTCTCCTTCCACCCCTCGCCAGCCTCGCAGACCAACCTTTATGGGGGTGGTTGAGCCCCGCCCCTACACAGGTAGCCAATTGAATCCTAATTCACCCAGTGGATACACCCACGCCACACCGATTGGGCGTCTTCACCCGGCGTGCCCCGCCCCTACTTCCGGGGTCCACAAGCTAGTTACTCTGGAGGGGCAGGCCCTTATAGGGCCCGTCCAGTTTGAGGAAAGGAACAAGTTTCTCTTTCCTGCATTGACCAGACGTTGGACACTGGCTGCCAAAGGCAGACGCTTAACCATCCGAGCCACCCAGGCACCCCAGTCCTCACTTTCACATCCACCATGCTGTTGAGACACTCCATGTCTGAGTCACTGGGGACCTGAAGCACTTTCTCTTGGGTTTCCACATCACAGTATTTTTTTTTTAAACAAATCTATCTTCCAGTCACCCCTTGGCTTATTCTCTGAACCCCTTCTTTTCTGTCTCCACCTCCTTCCTTTCCATGTCACTCCATCTTGTAACTCTGAACACCAATGTCACTTTGCACCACTCCACCCAGACCACCAGACCTCTCTCCTGAAACCAGGGCCCTGTGACATCTCTGCTGGGATGACAGCCTGGCATCTTCCCCTTAATATATCCAGCAATGACCCCACAAACTCCTCCAAGTGTCTCCTGCAGTCTGCCTCTGCTTATAGGGCGACCCTGTGTTTCCTACAGCCTAGGGGGGCATCCTGGCACGTTTGCAAAGTATACAAGCTGTTACTTATTAGTGTTTTAACTTAGGACAAAAGAAATAAAAAGTAGATGTTTACTCAAAATAGATAAGGGGATACATGGTTTCCAAAAGTCTTCTGAGGTATGGGAGAAAAAGTGTGAAGAATTCTGATCTGCTCTGGAACTTTCTGATCTGCTCGCTTTAATACTCTGATCTTACCCGCTCTTTGTCTCCTCCACTCACCTTGCTCCAGCCATACAGGCCTCCCTGTCCTTTCTGGAGCCCCGAATGCCACCATCCCGGGGTCTTCACATGGGTGTCCTCCTGCCTAGAAGTCTCTGGCCCCGCACATGCAAGGGGCAAAACCTCTTCTTTCCTTGGGTCTTTGGTTCTGAGATCACCTCTCAGTGACACCTTCTCTGGCTTCTGTCCCTTCATCTTCCACTCCCTTTAACAGTCCACATACTCCCTCACCCTCAATTCTGGTCCCTTTTGCCTGCTCTGCATGTTTCTCTCTGCTCCCTCCCCTTCCACTGGCTGGACACTGATAGCAGGGCCCAGGGGCGAGCAGAGCCAGAAGGTGGGAGGTGTGCTGGGCTGTGAGTGTGCCCCACCCAGGTCACGCGGGACAAAATACTGAGGCATTTTGCAGATACAGCTCCGGTGTCCCTCCCAGAGATGCCCCCTGCAGTGGTCGGAGGGGAGGACAGGACTCAGCCTCAGTACCACTTAAAGTGCCCCACGTGCTTCCGCTGCAGATCCAGCATCACCAAGGCTCTGGGTCCTCCGTCTCGGAGGCTGAGAGCAGCCCCTGACCCAGAGAGAGGGGAGGGGGCCCTGCTCTGCGTGGGGTGTGATCAGGGCGGGTCTGTGACCTGGAGGGGAGTGTCGGGTCCAGCCCAGGTCCCCACTGTTGCCGTGTGTTGTAGGGGGGCTTCACCCGGGCAGGAGCCAGTTCTGAAGAAAGGGGTGGGGACACTCGCTGGTTGGTGTCTGGAGGAAGTCACTGTCCCTGAGCCCCCTCCTGTGGCAGTGGGCAGCAGAGAACTGTCGTTTCCACACAGAGAGGGCTTCCTGTGTGATGTTGTGGTACAGGAAGGACGTCGGTTGATTCTAAGCATTCAACTGCAGCTTCTTGACTCTTAGGATTGATTCTCAAGGCTGATCTTGTGTGAGAGAGCAGCAGCGTGGACGAGGAGGAAGAGGAAAGGAAGGAGTCCGGAATGGCTGGCTGTCAGGTACAGTCATATTCTGGGCTGACTTTCTGTCTCTCATTCCTGCTGCGCCCTTGAAGGACTCGCTCACCTTCTCTGACCCTGAAGTGTCCCGCTGAGTCGTGTCTGTGCGCACTCCCCCAGGCCTTCCCTCAGTCTGTCTCCCTCCACTCAGATTCCATCTCCTTGTGCCCCAGAGACGTGGAGCCTGTGAGGGGGCACCCCGGGCGCATCCTGCATCGTGGTGGGCCTCACATCAGGTGTGTGCTGTCAGCTGTCAGACCAGGAGCCAAGAAGCTACATGGGGAAGTCACATATTAACGTGTATGGATAGTTGGAAAATTCTGGAAAACAAGCACGAGAAGAGGATATCAGCCCTGCCTGACTTTATAATGCATTCAAAGCTAAACAAGTGAACCACACATAGTGTTTCTGGTTCTAAAATACAATTTAGAATAACGATTTAGAATAAAGTTCAGGAATAGATTATCAGTAGGATGTTTTCATCCATAATTGGCTTTAAAAATGGAATCAACCTAAATAACAAACAGTAAGAGGTTTTTAAAAATCATTCTCAGAGCATTTATCCCACAGAGACCATGGTGTTCCTGTAGCAACTCTTGTGCAGCAGATGTTTTAGGTAAAAATGGCGGTTATGTAGCCAAGATGCGGAGCATAGAACTTTCTTTTTGCCGTCAGAGGGCAAATTCTCGTTCCACCATTATTTTTAAGTATTGTATCTCTTTTATTTTCAGTATCACATGGATGAGTGACTCATGTATGTATGGATGTACTGACTGGTTAAACTCCTCACAAAGCAGTAGCTTAGGCAGTAAGATGTAATGGGAAGGGGACACCCCTCCCTGTCCTGCCCTCCACTGTTCATGTCTCAGTGGGGAACCACTGTTGTCAGTTCCGTGGCAAGAAGCAGTTCAAACCTTATAAAAATGCGTTTACACGTTGTTAAAAATTTTAGAAAAAACCGCTCAATGAAGTTTGTTGTAACATTTTATTTTGCAAATTTAAAAAAAATGTACCCAGCACGTCTAGTCGTTGTTTTCAGGTTAATAAACAGAGACACAGCTCGCTCTTTGATCCTCACGGGGGCATTCTCTTAATGAAGACATGTGGGACCTTCACCATCTTTCATTGGTATAAAGAATGCCGCAGTGGCTGCGTATGAGCAGCCCGATCTCTCTCTGCAGACGTCAGGGGACTTCTCTGGGTTGGGCAACTTGACCTGTGATTACCAGGTGGAGGACGGTGCGTTATATGAGGACAGATTCTGTCCAATGCGGTCCCCTGAAGCTGCAAAGTACCCCGTCCCACAACACGTGTGACTCCCTCCCCCGCCAATGTAAGCAAAACTTGGTGCTGTAATCTCTTTGTGTTTTGAAAATTGGGGGGAAAAGGACAATCCCTTGTATTTCCATTTTCTACCAACTTGTAATCTGAATTATTTTTGTGGACTCAAACATGGTTTTTCATACTTTGCTGTTTTCCTTTGATGTATTTTTAGGAGCTATCTTATATTTTGTGGTTTAATTCTTTACATACATGCTTGTGTCTTTCTTAGTTTAGCAGTGTTTTGCAGTGAAACGTCAATCTTTCTTACCCTCTGCTTTCTGATCTTGCCTCGGAAAACCTCAGATAGCGTAATCTCAAAGTACTGTGTTCCACTTAGTACTCTTTGTTTAAAATTGTCTCTTTAATTTGGCTTTTTAATGTATATCTTGTAGCTATTTATTTCATTGATTGAAAAGTTTCAGGTAACACACACACATTAACAGGTTCACGTGTTGTTTGGCAAGGCTTTCCATTTTTTCTTTTCAAAGTGATTCTCCTCAGCCTCATGGAGACTTTTTTTTTTTCTTTTAAACCCCACATTTCTTCTGTATTTGAATTGCTCTGAATTTCTGAATCATGAGGTCTATATGTCACCACATTTTCCAGTAAGAATTAACGCTTGTCTGTCTTTGGTCATGTCTTTGTTCTGTCTTTCAGTAAAGTTTCCTCTTCACATAGGTTGGGAAATGTCTTGCAAATAGAGGTCCTGACACAAGTGCTAATGGGAATGGGTGTCTCCCCCCACCCCGTCAGGCCTCAGGCATCATCATCAGTCATCAGTGGTGACTGACAGGAGCCTGGCTGGTCCACGGGCTTCAGCCTCACCTGTGGCGGAAATCCTTCCAGCACTTACTAGAATTTGTGATGCCTGGTGGACTGGTCTTGCTCAATAACAGGTTTTTAAATGTCCTGTTCGGCATGATTTTTAATCATCCAGTATTTCTTCCAAGATCTGCTGTGATCAACCTGTGTTTTACTTAATCTGTGAAATTAACGTACATTAGTAAAGTTCCTCCTCATGAATTGGGTTTTTGTTGTTGCTGTTGTTAGAATAAATTCCATTTGGCTAATAAACTCCATAATGATTAAATGTCTGACTTTAAATGAAAACATGTCATTTATATATATATTTTTTAAAGATTTTATTTATTTGACAGAGAGAGAGAGATCATAAGCAGGCAGAGCGGCAGGCAGAGAGAGAGAGGGGGAAGCAGGCTCCCCGCTGAGCAGAGCCCGATGCGGGGCTCAATCTCAGGACTCTGAGACCATGACCAGGGCCGAAGGCAGAGGCTTAACCCACTGAGCCACCCAGGCGCCCCTGTAATTTATATTTTTACAGATAATTTGTCACACCTGAAGATACGTCTTGTGCTCTAGATCCTCTAGGTGTGCAGACCTATCACTAGTGTGGAGAACACAATATATACCATGTCCACATAACCAACCGTGTGCTGGACAGTTTTCATGTATATAGTTCTTTTATTTTCCACGAAAATGGTCAGTCTTCACTGTTTTAGTGGATCTGATATCCACCGATAGAATAAAATTAGGGATGTATAATTTGCTCACAATTATCTATTCTTGCTCAAAATGATGTCTGAACATTCATTTCAGTTGAATCGATCCTGACATCCCTTTCCTGCTCACATTTTGTGTGAACATGAGAAGGCTCCCCAAGGTTCCTTGGTGAAATGTTTTTCATTTCAGGAACGCTTGACCTTCAGGGATGTGGCCATCGAATTCTCTCGTGAGGAGTGGGAGTGCCTGGACCCTGCCCAGAGTGCCTTGTACAGGGACGTGATGGTGGAGAACTACCAGAACCTGGAACCTGGTCTCCCTGGGTAAGGATAACTAACGTTCCTCCAGAAGTCGGGGGCTGCCCCAGTGAGTCTCTTAGGAGCCCTTGCCCTGCCTGAGATTGAGGCCGTGTACCTTCTGACATGAAAAAGTTTATGAGGCAGCATGTAGACTTTCACCTCCCCGTCCTCAGATGATCTCCCCACTCCACCCTAGCTTAGGGGCACTTCCAAAAGCTGAGTAAGAACAAAACCTTACGGCAAACTTTTAAAAAACATCTGATTCTGGGGGCGCCTGGGTGGCTCAGCGGGTTAAAGCCTCTGCCTTCAGCTCGGGTCATGATCCCAGGGTCCTGGGATGGAGTCCCACATTGGGCTCTCTGCCCAGCGGGGAGCCTGTTTCTCCCTCTCCTCTCTGCCTGCCTCTCTGCCTACTTGTGATCTCTGTCTGTCAAATAAATAAATAAAATCTTAAAAAAAAAAAAAACACATCTGATTCTGGATCCACTTTTATCCCAGTACTTTTGACTCAGTAGTTCTTGGAAGAGAGCTGGATATCAATGTTTTAAAAATATCCCTTAAGCATTCAGAAGGACAGACTGAACAACTTTATGAAAAATTTTTTCTAGACACATCTGTAACGTCCTCTTGTGTCAGCTGAACAAAGGGCTGGAATGTGTATTCTGGAAAAGACACAGCACATCATATTCCTTTCTTCTGCTAAGCAGGAATCCCTCTTCCTGACCTGAATAACACCTTTATTTTGGAGCAAGGAAAAGAGCCCCAGACTGTGGAGAGCAAGGTGAAAACAGTGAAAAAGCCCAATGGGTGGGAACACAGGCAAGAACTCAGAAGGGCAGAGAGGGGGTCGCACCATCAATAGTGTTTGGGGACCTTTCTCCCAGTGGGAGAGTTTTTCCTTCTTGTGAGCTCTTGGAGGAAAGTTCACTTCCCTTCCCCTTGTCACTCCTTTCTTCAGACATGTGGAAGTGTAGCCTCACAACCTCTAGCTCATGCAAAGACCAAAGCAAAATCTTTATCATGACCTGTGGCTCTCTACTATATGCTCTTATGACCTCTTTTTTTAAAAGATTTTATTTTTAAGTAATCTCTTCACCCAATGTGGGGCTCAAACCTACAACCCAGAGACGAGGAGTCATATGCTGTACGGACTGAGCCAGCCTGGAACCCCCTGCCCCTATGAGTTCTTTGGTCCCTTGACCTTAAGGAGCAGTGGGAGGCTGGTTTTAATTAAGGTCCTTGGCCTCAGTCCCATTCTTGTTCCCACTCCACATGGGTCAGAGCTGAAGACTCCCCAGTCATGGCACTAGGCCTTTTCCAGGATCTACCCCATTCTGTATACTTGGGAGACCATCTCCTGGGGTTGGGAAACATCAGCATCTGGGGCCCCAGAGTTCTCTGCCTCTTCAAGCCCCCCAGCCATTTCTTCAGTTCTGCTTTCGCTGCACATCAGAAAGTGTGTCCGGCGGGGGAGTAGGGTAGGGCTCTCGATCCAGCAGTAAAACTGCTTTCACGCCGCAGGACTATAAGCATGTCTGCACCAAAACTATGCTGTAACCTTTGCTCTGTTGTGGTTTTGTTTCTTTTCTCTCAAAGTATTTTCTAAGTTCCTTTGTTATACCTTCTTTGACCCATGGGATTTTTTTTTAAAGACTGTTTAAAATTTTTCATGTATTTTTGAGCTTTCCAGTTTTCCTTCAGTTCTTCCTAGTTTCATTCTTTTGTGGTTGGAGAAAATAGTTTGTATGATTTTGCTTTTTCAGTTTGTTGAGACTTGCTTCATGGATTGATACAGGGTCTGTCCTGGAGAATGTTCCACATGCAGGTAGAAAAGAATGTATTTTGCTCTTACTGGGTGCATCGTTCTGTGTTCGCTGGTACTCGTTGGTTTATAGTCGGGCTAAAATCGTCTGTATCCTTACTGAACTTGGGTCTAGTTGTGCTCTCCATTTTTTAAAGTGAGGCCTGCAAATACTATTCTAGAACAACTTTTATTTCTCCCTTCAAGTCTGTAAATGTTTCATATATTTTGGGGTTCGCTTTTGTATATGTTCATATTTGTAATTCCTTAATGAGTTATCCTTTAAAATACATACATATATATATATATATATATATATATATATATATATATAGTCCTTTGTCTAATAAAAATTTTTACTTTAAGTACATTTTGTCTTATTAGTACTGCTACTAGGAAATGAAAAAATTCATTAGATTAGCTATATTACATTCCCACAATATTCCCAAGGTACTATATGAAAACTTGGCTCCTCTATATCCTGTCCTCCTCTCTTGTTACTGTCATAAAATTTTATCTCTATATATTGGGACCATCCATGTAGATTTAAAATAAGTTTTGTTTTTTAAATCAATAGGGAAAAAGAGGAGCAACAAACCAAAAATACAGTAATACAGTAACACTATACACACACACTATCTATTACTGTTCCTTATTTTTGATGTGGATTCAAGTTAGTCTCTTCCTTCATTTTAGCCTGAGGCATTCATTCCCTTTGCCATTTTTTAAAAAATTATTTTTATTAACATATAATGTATTATTTGCCCCAGGGTACAGGTCTGTGAATCATCAGGCTTACACACTTCACAGCACTCACCATAGCACATACCCTACCCTCCCTTTACCATTTCTTGTTGGGCAGGTCGACTAGCAAGGGAGTCTCAGTTTTTGGGGTTTTTTTTCTGGCAATGTCTTAAGTTATCCTCTATTTTGAAGGATAGTTTTGAAGTATCCTGACAGTTTTTGCCAACTTACTTGCTGTTTTTGTGGAGACATGCCCTTATGATACTCAGTGATTTTCATACTGTTACTTTTACCCAGTTCTTTCTACTATTTGAAAACTGGTATTTCAGAAGCCAGTGGACAAGGGTATAACTTAGACTGTTGGGAATAGGTGGGAACTTTTCTTAACATGTTTTCCAGTTCTTATCTTGTGTGCTTTTTCTGGAACATAAATCTTTTCTCTTGTTCTTATTAAGAGAGAAAGGATTAGAATTCCACCGTCTATAATTTTGTGTAATTGTGGTTATTTATTATTTACCTGTTGGTCTTATCTTGGTGTAATTGAAAAATTTCATTTAATAACTTGTCATTTACAGATTATGGATCTTAGCATCTAGTTTGGAATATGATGCAATTCGCCAGTTGTTAATGTTCCAAAATGCGTATCCTGCAGAGTATAGAGCTTTAGAGTAGATATTAAGAATATTTTATTATTCCAAAGATGTATTAAATTCTTCTTGATTTTCCTATTATGCTTTTAGTTTTACAATTCATAATTTCCATGTATTTATCTTATTCATTAATTTTTTTTTAAGATTTTATTTTTTTTTAATTTTTTTTTAAAGATTTTATTTATTTATTTGACAGAGATCACAAGTAGGCAGAGAGGCAGGCAGAGAGAGAGAGAAGGGGAAGCAGGCTCCCCGCTGCCCAGAGAGCCCAATGTGGGGCTCGATCCCAGGACCCTGGGATCATGACCTGAGTTGAAGGCAAGAGGCTTTAACCCACTGAGCCACCCAGGCGCCCCTAAGATTTTATTTTTAAGTAACCTCTATACCCAACATGGAGCTCAAACTTACAACCCTGATAGTCACATGCTCTACTGACTGAGCCAGCCAGGCGCCCTCATTAATTTTGTAAATGGATTATTTGCCCCCCCCAATCTATTACTTCATATATAGCTGTGCTTCAGCATTTATTTGCATATAACAATTATACTGTAAATATGCATTTGTATGTTTCTTTTTTTTTAATTTTAAAGAGAAAGAAAGGGGAGTAGGGGGAGAGAGAGAGAGAAATCCAAGCAGTCTCTGTGCTGAGCCCAGAGTGTGGGGGTTTATCTCACAACCCTGAGATCACAACCCGAGCCCAAATCAAGAGTCAGACATTTAACCGACTGTACCACCCAGTCCCTCCAGTATCTGTTTCTTTACAGTATGAGACACCCACATTTGTCTACTGCTAATTGGTGTGTGTTTTGGTGTGGTGGTCAAAAAATACACTTTCAGAACTTATATAAATTTACATAGTGTGAACAATTTGGTCATACAGTGTTTGAAAGTAAGTTTCCAGGGCACCTAGATGGCTCAGCTAAGCGTCTAACTCTTGAGATGATTGATCCTGGGTATGGAGCCTGCTTGAGTCTCTCTATCTTTCCCTCTGCCTCCCCTCCCCTTCTCTTAAAAACAAACAAACAAACAAACAAACAAAAAACCACACACAGAGAAAGAAAGTAGGCTTCCCTTAAAATAATTTGAAATACACGTCATCTTTTATTAAAAGGATTCTATTCTGTTCACTTTGCATTCTTAAACATTGCAGATGTTGGCTGGGAAGTTTTTATCTCTTCAATCTATTTACTTTTAGTGTAATATCCATTTTGCAACTCTAGTTAATGTGAAGACTATGGTTTATTATTATCTTTCAGATAGCTCTGCTAGATTCATGATCAAGGAATTATTACCAAAGAAAGAAATTGATAACAGAGAATTATGCCAGCCAGTGGTCTTGGGAAGACATGAAAGCCATGGCCTTGAAGATTTTGACTTCAGGGAAGTTTGGGGAGATATGTCTGATTTTGAGAGTAACTGTGGCTATGAAGAAAGAAATTCCAAAGGAGTACTTGTGACAGATATTGTAAATCTTACTGGTAGAAAAGATAAACAAGACAGCAAATCCTGGATTAATTTACCTTTAAAGCAGCATGCTTCTTTAAGAAAAAGTACATATCAGTATTTTAAGCAAGGGAAGTCATTAGTAAAAAATTTGTTAAAAAATAATATAGTCTATACAGGAAACAAGTATACGAAATGTTTTGAAGATAGAATTGGGTAAAGCTTTCAGTCACATCTGGTTGAACTGCAGAGATTTCAAACTGAGGACAAAATTAACGAATGTAATCAAGTTGAGAAGTCTGTCAAAACTTGTTCTTCAATTTTGCCACTTCCAAGATTTCTTCCTGGTGTCAAAACCAACCTCTGTAATAAATATGGATGGGTTTTTATGTATCCTTCATTGTTCACACAGCACCAGAAAACAAAAATTAAAGAAAAACCATACAAATGTAATGAGTGTGAAAAGACTTTTAGCCATCATTCAGCCCTTACTAGTCATCAGAGAATTCATTCTGAGCAGAGACCTTACAAATGTAATGAGTGTGGTAAAGCCTTTAAGCAGTTCTCAAACCTCACAAGACATCAGCGAATCCATACAGGAGAGAAACCATATAAATGTAGTATCTGTGACAAAGTCTTTAATAAAAAATTCCCACCTTACAAATCACTGGAGAATTCATACTGGAGAAAAACCACACAAATGTCATAAATGTGGTAAGGGTTTTATCAAATGTTCAGATCTCTGGCGTCATGAGAGAATTCATACTGGAGAGAAACCTTACAAATGTAATGAATGTGGTTAGGGTTTTACCAAACGTTCCTATCTTTGGGATCACGAGAGAATTCATACTGGAGAGAAACCATACAAATGTACTGAATGTGGCAAGGTTTTTAGGCAGTGGTCTACCCTCAGGATTCACCGAAGAATTCATACTGGTGAGAAACCTTATAAATGTAATGAGTGTGGCAAGGCTTTTAAGCAATGTTCACACCTCACTAAGCATCAGAATGTACATCTTGGAGAGAAGCCACACAAATGTACTGTATGCACCAAGACTTTTATCCACATTTCAAACCTTATGAAACATCAGAAAATCCATTTTGGAGAAAAACCGTACAAATGTAATAAATGTGGTAAGGCTTTTTTCCAAAGTTCAAGTCTTGTGGAATATCAGAGAATTCATACCGGTGAGAAACCTCACCAACGTAATGAGTGTGGCAAAGCCTTTACTGCCAGTCAAGCCTAACTAAACATAAAAAAACCATACTGGTGAGAAACCTTATAAATGTAATGAATGTGATAAAACATATATACAGCTTATACACCTTCCTAGACATCGGAAAATCCATACCGAAAAGAAACATGAATCTAGTATATGTGATAATGCTTTTATTCAAAGCTCAAGCTTGGGGGCTCATCAGAGAATTCATGGAAGAGAGAAACCTTACAAATGTAGTGAGTGTGGCAAATTCTATAACTGGTGTTCTCGCCTCACTCGACATCAGAGAATCCATACTGGAGAGAAGCCATATAAATGTATTGTGTGTGGCAAGGCCTTTAGTCAAAATTCAAACCTTACAATTCATCAGAGAATTCATACTGGAGAGAAACCTTACAAATGTAATGAATGTGGCAAAGCCTTTAAGCAATATTCAAGCCTCATAAGACATCAGAATATACATCCTGGAGAGAAACCACACAAATGTATTGTGTGTGGTAAGGCTTTTATCAAACGTTCACACCTTTGGGGTCCTGAGAGAACACATACTAGAGAGAAGCCATACAAATGTACTGAATGTGGCAAGGCCTTTAGACAACAGTCTGACCTCAGGATTCACCAAAGAGCTCATGCTGGAGAGGAACCTTAGAAATGTAATAAATGGCATAAATCATTTAACCATTTCTCACAATACACTATGCATTAGAGAATTTATAGTAGGGAGAACTATGTATAAGTCCAAGATTAACCTCAGATGTTTAATTCTTCACAGTAAGTAAAAGTTAAATTCATTTGAACACTCATGAGATGAGTGTCAGTGGAGCAAGGAGAGCTTTGGGAATGTAGCATTCCTTTTAAAAATACTTATATTACTTGCATTTCCTTGAAAGCCCTGCATCACTCACTATTGATGTCTTTTGATCTGAAGTTTGGAATTTGTTGATGTTATACCTTCATTACATTTTTCATGTGTTACCATGATGGTCTCTGGAGACAGATCAGTAAGATAAAAGGGCCTATTTTATTAAACAGGAATCATCATATCTTGAAGGAACACTGAACTTTAACATACAATGTTTTGTGGAATTGAAGGAGTACATGGGTTGAGCAGAGAATATATGTAAAACAGTGATGTAAATAATAACATGTTCCGATCCCTTCTACAGATTAGTCTGTATAACAGAGGGCCACGGGATCATCAAAAACCATTGCTCTGCCAGAGGAGCAGGAAACAGCAGACCCTGAGACTGAAAGATGGATTTTCATGATAGGTTGGGAGGGATTGCCTATTGGATAGAAATAATGGTGAAATGAAGGTCATCCTCTTCCTTTTATGAAAATAGTGCTTGTCTATCAAAGAGGAGTGAAAAGTTAGTCTTATTTTGGGGAACTAAAGAGAGCAGTTATCAGGAGAACTTAATCAAAACAACCACAATGCAGCGTACAGGTATAGGATTCCCATTTAACCACTACACTGATGCCGTTTTACTCAGAATGTATCATCCTAATATTTTAAGTAATAAAATTATTTTTTCAAAACTCTAAATGAATCGTGTTTTTTCCCCCCTCAGATCAAGTCTATGCTGTTTCCTTACAGTGCTTCGTAACAAACGCGAACACTACATCTTCAGGCTTGTTGAGGCTGACAGGCATCTGCAGCAATGTTTCTTACATGATGGAATCAAACGACACACAATTTTATGAATATATACTCATCATTTGCTTGAGATATTCTCTCCACAGTCTGCTGCTTGGATATTTATTTATGTGGCGGTGATTACCATACCACAGCGGTGCGACTTCAGACCCTCCCTCTAAACATCTGAAACATCTGGTGAACACGCACTCGATGGCATTTCCACGCGCCTTTGCTAATGCCTACGCGAGACCCATGACTTGCAGTGGCCTTGATGTACATGAGGATGTGTATGTGTGTATAATTTTTAAAAATACATTTTACTAAGTAATCTCTACACCCAAGATGGGCGTTGAACTTAAAATCCCAAGATCAAGAGTCACATGTTTTACTGACTGAGCCAGCCAGGAGCCCAGAGGCAAATATATTAAGCATATGAGAAGTGTTAGGAAATAAAATTTCAGGAATAGAGACTGATATGCATAATCTCTCCCCAACTTGGGAGCTTTCACTGGAGTACTTTGGAAAGATCACCGATCGAGTCTCTCCTTAACAATGAACACATACACCTGAGAATACAGTGGGTTGGTTGGTTTGTAGGCCAAATAGGAACTTCACATATCAACCCCCTCAGAAGTAGTTCATCACAAGATGAACCCCTCCAAAATCTAGTCTTGGGTGTCAAGACTGATAATGCTAGACACCAAGAGGGGGTAAAAATGTTTAATGCATAATGAGACTTTCCAGGGAGAGAAGGGCAGGTTTCCAAAGTTGCCAGAAAAATAGCTTGAGAGCAAGAAAAGGAGACTCATTTTATGAGGTGGTCCTGCAAGGGGTCTGCTCTTCCTGAGGGCACCAAACAAAAGGGCACGTGGGCTTCTACATTCGACCACTTGTGGAATAGAAGGGATAAAGGAGGATACACTGAATATGTGGTCTGGGGTGGGTTTATTTATGTATGTATGTATTGATCAATTATATGGTAAACTGCACCAGAGACAGGGAAAGCAGCTGAGAGAGGGTTGAGGCTTAAAAGCTGTCCATGGTCAAATACCAAAACAAACAAAAAAGAAAGTAGAGTGAGATTCTAATACAACACAGAATATTTTCTGTCAAACCTCCTGATTGCTTGGTTACGAAAGACCAGTTTTCTTCGTGCTAATAACTTCTTGTACATCCTTTCCTGCTACAGAAGTACGACCCTTTACCCAGTATAATCTGAAAGTGAAATATGGAAATGCTATGTAGATAAACTGCCTACCATGCTTTTATGCTAGTTTCACAATCATTCATGTATGGGAGTGTTCATCAGGCAATACATAGGATTCAATAATCTTACTAGAAGAGTTTTTCAAAGGCTGTAAAAATCTCAATTTGATTTTACTATTAAGCATTACATGATTCTTTCAACTCTAGAAAAATTCCTTTTTATTTAGAAAATTTTTCATAACCTACTTTATATTGAGTTTACACATTTTCCCTGTATTATGACACTGAAAATTTTGGGGAAAAAATACATGAGTTAAAGAATCTTTTAAGAGTTGTATAACGTGAAAGTGAACCCAGGACAATAAGAAGTACAGAGTAAGTGTTCTATAGATATGAAGAACAAGAGTCCTTTTATATCTTTAATTCAATGAAAGAAGTGGGACAGTATGAAACTGTGAACTAGAAACTAGTAAGATGGAGCCAGGAAACCTTTTGATACCCCATAAATCTAACACTGGTGTTTGGGGAACACAGTATGTTCATTTTACCTTAAAATCACTTCCAGTTCTAAAAAAAAAAAACAAAAGCCTTCTCCAATTCTTCTGTTATTATTGCCATAAGACTAATCATCTCTGTCCTACATTATTGCAATGGACACTGGACCTTCTATCTCCAAGTCCTCATAGTACAGGGTCAAGATGTCAAATTTTTTTCTAAGTTGAATGTGAAGCTATTAGATGTTTTTACTTGATTTAATAGGACGTCATACCATAAAATCCACTCTTAAAATGTACAATTCAGGGACAAGGATGTCCCCTCCCACCATTCTTAACATTGCGCTGGAAGTCCTAGCTAATGCAATGAGAAAAAGAAGTGCACAGGACAGTCATTAGGAAGCAAGAAATAAAACCGTCTTGTCCACAGATCATACGGTCTATTAGAAACTGCACGGAATCAACAATAGCAAGACTGAAGGCCACAAGTGTCATACAATGTGCTGTTTGTGTTACCCTATATAGTGTTATCCTATGGAGCAATTCTCCCCCACAATGTGATGTGTGGAAGGGTGCCTTTGGGAGGTAATGACTACGTACGAGTGGAACCCTCACGAATGAGATTAGTGACGTAGTACAAGAGACCTCAGAGAGCTCTTCTACTCTCCACCATACAAGAATCCAACAAGATAGGCTTGTGCAGCCAAGAATAGGTCTCTCACCCACACCTAATTAGCCAGCACATTGATCTTGGTCTTCCCAGCTCCAGAACTGTGAGAAACAGCTGTTGCTTATAAGCCACCTAGTCTAGGTTACTTTTTTATAACAGCTCAAACTGACTACGACGGTATACAAGTGGAATTCGAAACTAGAAACACAGTAACTTTACACTAGCACCAGAAAAGACCCTACACTTAGGTATAAATCTAACAGAGTATGCACAGGATCTACATGAGGAAAGCTACAGAGCTGATTAACAGAATCAAAGAACTAAATGAAGAGATTATTCAGATACAGGGACAGTAAGACTCCATATTTATGAGATGTCAGTTCTTCACTAATCAACTTACAGATTCAATGCAATCCCAAACTAGAAAGCAACTGATTCTTTGAATATCAACAAATTGATCCTAAAGTTTGTATGGATAGTCAAAAGATGCACAGTAGCAAACAAAATACTGAAGGAATGAACAAAGTCAGAGGACTGATATGACTTGATTTCAAGGCTTCATATAAATGTACAATAATAAAAACAGTGTGGTTTTAGCAAACAGATACACAAACTGACCAAAGGAACATAATGGAGAGCTCAGAAATGGACCCATACAAATAGAGCCAACTGATCTTTGACAAAGAAGCAAAGGCAGTATGATAGAGAAAAGGCAGTCTTTTCAACAGATGTGCTGAAGCAAATGGACATCGATCTTCCCAAAAAAAACTGCATCTAGACAGAGGTTCCCTATTCCTTTCACAAAATTCAACTCACAATGAATCACAGGTATAAATGTGAAATGCATAACTATAAAATTCTTAGAAAGATGACACAAGAGAAAATCTAGATGACCTTGGCTTCATGATGACTTTTTCTGACTTAACACTAAAGGAGTGGAGGCAATAATAATTCGGGTTTCATCAAAATTAAAAACTTCTGTTCTGCAAAACACACTGTCAAGAAAAAGAAAACAAGCCACAGGTTGGGATAAAATATTTGTAAAGCACATTTCTAAATGCACTGTTACCCGAAATGTACAAAGAACATTCTCAGAGCACAGCAATAAGAAAACAAAAAAAACATCATCTAAATATGGGAAGACAGGAATAAACACCTCACCAAAGAAGATACACAGATGGCAAATTAAGCATATGAAAATACGTTCTACATCTTGTATCGTTAGACAATTGAAAGTAAGACAATGAGTTACCACTACAAACCTACTACAATGCCTCAAATCCCAAACCCTGACACCGCCCAATGCTAGTCCAGATGCTGAGCAACAGACACTATCATTTGCTGCTTCTGGGAATGCTAGAGCCACTTTGGCAATTTAACTCTTTCTTACAAAACTAAACATACTCTTACCATACAATCTAGCACTCACATTCCTTGGTATTTAAACAAATGAGCTGAAAACTTATGTCCATGTAAAACCCGGCCCAGGAGCATTTATAGAAACTTATGCATAACTGCCCAAACTTGGAAGCAACCAAGGTGTGTTTCAGTAGGTGAATAGTTAAACAAGCTGTAATATATCCAGAAAATGGAATATTATTCATTGCTAAAAAATGAACTATCAAGCCAGAAAAAGACAT